TCAGGCTCCTGGCCTGGGACAAGAGGCCTGGCTGCCAGGGCTGTGGCTGGGCTAGCTGGGGACACAGAGCCGGGGGTCACTGCGGGTCCCCCTGCAGCGCTGGAGCGGCCCTGAGAAGCTGCTGGCCCTGGATGAGCTCATTGACCGCTGCGAGCCGGCGCAGATCAAGTACATGATGCAGGTCATCGAGCCCCAGTTCCAGCGGGACTTCATCTCCCTGCTGCCCAAGGAGGTGAGTGAAGCCTGGGGACCAGGGGCCTAGCCTGGCCTACCTGACCGCCCCTGGTGACCGCTCTGTGACCTTTATCCCCTCACAGCTGGCCCTGTACGTCTTGTCTTTCCTGGAGCCACGGGACCTGCTCCGTGCTGCCCAGACTTGCCGCTACTGGAGGGTCCTGGCCGAGGACAATCTGCTCTGGAGGGAGAAGTGCCGTGAGGAAGGTGAGGGTCCTCCTGGGTGGGGGCTGGGGGGCCACCCCAGGCTTGACCCAGGTGAGGCACCGCTGTGTTGTCCCCTGCAGGGATTGAGGAGCCCCTACACCTGCGGAAGCGACGCCTGCTCAGCCCCGGGTTCATGTACAGCCCCTGGAAATTCGCCTTCCTGCGGCAGCACCGCATCGACATGAACTGGCGCAGCGGGGAGCTGCGGCCCCCCAAGGTAGGTCTGGGTGTCCCAGCGGGGACAGGCTCTGGGGAGCTGTGGTCCCCAAGGTGAGCCTGCGAGTGCCCCTGCCAGGGGTAGACCCTGGAGAGCTGAGGGGCTGGTGGGGGTCCCTCTGGGGACAGACCCCAGGTCACTGGTATAGGGAAGCTGATACAAGATCTGCCATGGGAGCAGATCCAGCTTGCTCAGAGCAGTGGGGGCAACAGAAATGAGGTCCCCTGGGCCTGGAGAAGGGAGTCCCTTCCTTTGCCCCTCTCCAAGCCCCCATGCAGGCCTGCAGTCAGCCCCAGCACCCAGGGAAGGTGCAGCATCGCAGGGCTCAACTGTGTTCTGTGCAGGGTCCCAGAACCCTGGTGATCTCTCCCTGGGTGTCCCTCCTGCCCCTGGGTAGAGTCCCCACCACCCTTTCTCTTGCTGCTGGGTTCCTGAGCCCCCCACTCCCTGTTCTCCTGTAACCCCTGCCCCTGCAGCAGCTGCCAGACACACCACACACCCCAGCTCTGCTGCCCTGCAGAAGCATCAGAGGCTGCAGGTTGATTTGGAGACCCGCCTGCCTTTCCTCCCCACAGCTCCTGCTGCCTTCCCACTGCTCATTGTGTTGGGGGGTCCTGCTGGCTGGGGAGGCCACACTGCCCCCCACATACTCCTGTACTCCCACAGGTACTGAAGGGCCACGATGACCATGTGATCACCTGCCTGCAGTTCTGTGGGAATCGCATAGTAAGCGGCTCTGATGACAACACGCTTAAAGTGTGGTCAGCTGTCACAGGGGAGGTGAGCATCACTGTCACCAGGGAACTGAGTGTGGCATTGTCATCATCGCCACAGGGGTTTGGGGCAGGGACCATCTCCCTGTGCTGAGCACAGGTGGTGCTACACCCTGACTCCTGGGGTCAGTTTGGGCCCTATATGGCAAGGACAGGGAGTTGTGCTGCTCCTCTGTGCTGTTTCAGGGTGGGGAGGTGTGAGAGGCTCACCTGTCCCTCATGTCCTGTTCCCCACAGTGTGTGCAGACGCTGGTGGGCCACACTGGGGGGGTTTGGTCCTCCCAGATGAGGGACAGCATTGTCATCAGTGGCTCCACTGACCGCACACTCAAGGTGTGGAACGCTGACAGTGGCGAGTGCGTGCACACGCTGTACGGACACACCTCCACCGTGCGCTGCATGCACCTGCACGGCAACAGGTACAGCAGGGGCTACGGCTGCTGCGTCGGGGGATATCCGCGGGGCTCAGCCTTGTTGGCCCCAGGTTGCCCTGGCAGCTGGGCCCCACACAGGTGTCCCCTCACCTGCAGGGTGGTGAGTGGCTCCCGGGATGCCACACTGCGGCTCTGGGACATTGAGACAGGGCAGTGCCTGCACGTGCTGATGGGCCACGTGGCAGCCGTGCGCTGCGTCCAGTATGACGGCAACAAGGTGGTCAGCGGTGCCTACGACTACACGGTCAAGGTGTGGGACCCCGAGAGCGAGAGCTGCACCCACACGCTGCAGGGGCACACCAACCGAGTCTACTCACTGCAGGTACGGCCCTGCATGCGTCCCCTCCTGCTGCTTCCCCCTCTGCAGCTCCCCTGCCCTCCCTGCTCCCTCAGGTACAACCTGCCTTCCTGCTGGCTTGCCCTATCGCTCCCCTGCCTTCCAGTCATGGGCACAAGCTGTGCCCAAGGTTCCACATGTGCTGTAGGGACAAATAGGCTGTGCCTGTGTCATGCAAGGCCCTGTGAGCTTTGCAGGGACATGTGTGTCCTGAAGGGGATGTATCTGCCCTGCAAGGACACATGAACCATGTTTGTGTCCTGCAGGGACAGTCTCTGCCCCCTGACCCCACTTCCCACGCACACATGCTGTGGACATAAACACTATAAACACTCCTCCATGCCCCTTTCCTGGAGCATTTCTACAGCCCAAAAAGCCAAGAGGTGCGTGAGCCTGTCTCATCTGCTGAACTGGGCTCTCTGGTGGTGCTGCTGGAACTGAGGGTGCTGTATCCCAAACCAGGGGCTGCCAGAGCTGTGGGCTGCACCCCAAACCAGGGACACTCCTGTCCCCAATACTGAGCTGGACCCCTTCTCTCTGGCAGTTTGATGGGACACACATCGTGAGCGGGTCTCTGGACACCTCAATCCGCGTGTGGGATGTGGAGAGTGGGAACTGCCTGCACACACTCATGGGGCACCAGTCACTCACCAGCGGCATGGAGCTGCGTGACAACATCCTCGTGTCCGGCAACGCCGACTCCACTGTCAAGATCTGGGACATCAAGACGGGGCAGTGCCTGCAGACGCTGCAGGGTGAGAGGGGGTTCCTCACCCTTGGGGGGCAGCGGGGAGTTCCCCCCACCAGGGCGCTGGGAAGGGGCAGCTCTCTGCCTTGGGGGGTGGGAGGGAGGGAGCTCCTTGCCCTTGGGGCTGTGTCTGGACAGAGTGGTGTGTCCCTGAGGAGCCAGGGCTGGGTGGCTCTGAGGTGCCAGGTGTGGCAGCACCCATGTCACACAGCAGTGGGTGCCCCAGGTGTACCTGGGGCTCACGGGTGCCTCCCCATAGGTCCCAGCAAGCACCAGAGTGCAGTCACCTGCCTGCAGTTCAGCTCCAAGTTCGTGGTGACCAGCTCCGATGACGGGACAGTGAAGCTGTGGGACCTGAAGACAGGGGAGTTTGTGCGAAACCTGGTGGCCCTGGAGAGCGGGGGCTCCGGGGGGGTCGTGTGGCGCATCCGTGCCTCCAACACCAAGCTGGTGTGCGCCGTGGGCAGCCGCAACGGCACCGAGGAGACCAAGCTGCTGGTGCTGGACTTTGACGTGGACCTTAAGTGACCCCGGCCAGCCCGGGGGTCCCGCGGGAGGGGTGGCCCCGGCGCAGGCGCTGGCCCCCGCGGGCAGGACAGAGGGGAGGCCGGCCCGGGCCTTATTTATATGCGCGGGAGTGCCCGGCCGGGCCTGCAGGAGCATGTTTTGTACACGGAATATATTGATTTATTTCTGTACTGGGGCTAGTGCTTACCTGCCCAAAGCCCTGTCCTGGGCCTGCAGCTCATGCTCTCAGCCCAGGGGCTGCAGCGGGGAGAGAAGAGGCCAGGCTCTCCCAAGGACCACGCACACACACGCCCTTAGCTGGGGGGCACTGGCCTGGCAGCACCTGACATCTAGTGCCCTGTCTGAGTGCCTGCTCTGTGCCAGCCAGCTGGAGTGAGAATGTTCAGGGCCCCACAGTGTCCCGGTGATCACAGGGCTCCTAAAGGGAGACGTTTGTCTCACATTTAAGTGCAAGTCCCTGGATTCCCAGTTGTGCCATGGTCTCTCACCAGGGAACAGAGGCCAGGGTTCTGGTTCCCTCCCCACGTGTCACACTAAGCCGTTACTGTGGAGATGTTTTATTGGTACTCACAATCCACTTCCCAGAAATCCACAACCAGGAGGGCTAGGGGGGCCTTCCCCTGTTCCTGTGCCCCCAGCCCTGGTGCCCGGCGCAGCCCAGCCGCTGCTCGGGGCTCCCGGGGCCCGGTGCAGATGCTGCTCCAGCCCGGGGCTCCGGGCAGCAGGGATGCAGCTGCTCCGGCTGGCACGGGGCCGGGCTGCTGCCAGTCGCGTCCGACGGCCGCGGGGAGCTGCGGCCAGCTGCTGCTACGTGCCGGCAGCGGGAGCGCCTTCCGAGGGCTCCGCGGGGCCCGGGGCCGGCTCAGGGGAGGCCGGCAGTCCGGACGGCCCCGCTGGAGCCCCGTGCTCGGCTGCGCGGCGCTGCAGCAGCGCCGGCACCAGCCCCACGTAGGCGCCCATCAGGCGGTGGTTGGCGCGGACCAGCCTGGCGGCGCAGCTGTCCAGGCACGACTCCTGCGGGGGACAGGGGGGTCAGGGGCCACCGGCCTGCGGGCCCCGGCCTGCGGGCCCCGTGCCCCGCTCACCTCGCGGCCCGTGAGCAGCCGGTAGTTGAGGTTGCAGACGCAGTGGCGGAAGCAGAGCTCGGTCATGCGGTTGTAGACCAGCAGGAAGTCCCGCAGCTGGGGAACAGGCGGCGCGGGTCACACCGGGCGGAGCCGGTCCGCGACCCCTGAAACCCACCGCGACTCCCGGCGTGCCCCCCGGCCAGCCCGAGACGCCCGGGTCCCTTCCAGGACCCCACCGCTTCTCCGGAGAACCCGGCACCTCAAGGTCCCACGGCCGGAGCGCCCGGGACACGCCGGGACCCCCCATGAAGGCCTCGCGGGACACGCCGCTGCCCGCCCCCGGCCCAGGCGCTCACGCTGCGGAGCTGCTGCCGGTGCTCGGCCGCCGGGTCCATCCCGGGCCGGGCCGGGCCCGCTCCCTCCGCGCCCGCGGGACCACCCGCCGAACTCCCAGCGACGCCACTTCCGTCCGGCTCAGCGATGACGCCACTTCCGGGCCCTTGACGCCACTTTCGGCGCGTCCGGGCCGAGGCGGAGCGGGAGCGGCGCGGGGGGGCCCGGCGGGGCCGGGGCGCAGGTGGGGCCGGGGGCGGGCCGGGGAGGCCGCACAGGGTGAGCGGCCGCGGGGCCGGTGGGGCCTGGCTGGGAGAGCCCCGGGAGCGGGGCTGGGGCCTCCGCCGCCCGCTCGGGCCGGTTCCGGCAGGAGCGGCCACCGGGGGTTCCCTCGGAGGTCGGTCCCGACCCGGGGCCTTGCCGTGCGTGGCTGCGGAGGGGTCCGTTCCGACACTGCCCCCGTCCCGCCCCGGAGGCTGTGGGACTGCGGGGCCGCTCTCCGGCGAGGATGGCGCTGGGCGGTGACGGCCTCTGCCCGCAGGGCTCGACCCTGGCGCTGGGCCGGGCCCTGTCCCGCCGGGGAGGGGACAGGTCACAGGTAGCGGGTTCTCGGGAGCCCGCCCCGGGCCCCGCCTGCTGTGGAATGTGCCCGGACCGGTCCGGGCGCAGCGGGGCCCCCCCGCTCTCCTGCGGACGTGGCTCCCGGCGCCCTCCTGGCCGGGGCCGTGCTGGGCGCCGCCAGCGCCGCTGTCCCGGAGCAGGGTCGGCGGGGATCCCCGGCGGGGTTTGTGAGAGGGAGCACGGAGTGCGGCCGGGGGGCGGGGGAGCCCGGGAGTCCTGGGCGGGATGGTGTAGGAGCCACGGTGGGGTCGGCGCCTCTGGCATGTGCCACCCTGCGGGTCCGTTCTGGGGACCAGGGGTGTCCGAGGGCGCCGAGCCGGGCTGGGCAGGGGCTGCAGGAGGCCCTGCGCCGGGGGCAGCGTCTGCTCAGCGCCAGCAGCGCCGACGTGGGCCCTCCCTCCACGCTGCAGCCCCCGGCTGTCCCAGCACGGCCTCGCGGTACTGCCGGTGCCCCCGGCCGGGGGTGGTCCTGGCCCCAGCAGCACGGCTGTGTCCTTGCAGGCCCTGAGGATGTCAGACGGGATCCTGAGCAAGGCAGCCACCATGGAGATCCCCATCAGCAGCAACGGGGACACCAGCAGCCTGCCCGAGGATGATGGCCTGGAGCAGGTCTGGGGTCGGGAAGCCCGGGGGGTGTTTGGGGCTGAACCAGGGCTGTGCTGTCTCTGCATCTCAGCCCCCTGTGCTCCTGTGCCCCCCAGGACCTGCAGCAGGTGATGGTGTCGGGACCCAACCTGAACGAGACCAGCATCGTGTCGGGCGGCTATGGGGGCACAGCCGAGGGCATCATCCCCACGGGCACCATCAAAGGTAGCGGGGCTGGCTGGGCAGGGAATGGATCATCGTGGGGCGGAGGGGCTCGGCTCCCCTCAGTGCCCCGACTTATGACACAAGGCTGTGCCATGGCCTAGCCGAGGTGTCTCCTGGGTGGGCTCGGGGTCTGTGCAGGGGTGTGGGGTGTGTACTGAGGCAGAGGAGGGGCTGCTGCCTCAGCTCTGCTCTCCCTGGGCTGGGTTGCTCCCCTGTCACAGGGTGGGGTCTCTGCTGGGAATTTCTGTCCCCGTGGAATTCTCTGCTCTGCTTGAGTCCCTGCTCTGCTGGAGGATCCCAGGTCTGTCCTGGTCCCCGTGCAGCGGGAGCTCTGGAGTGTGCTGGGGATGAGGGGGCAGGCAGGGGGCCCACACCCCACTGACTCCTTGCTGTCCCAGTCAGACTGGTCCAGAGTGGGGCCAGCTGGGCTCTACACCCTGGGAGACCTGGCACCACCGTCCTTGTTCCATGCAGACCTCTCCCTGAGGGTTCCCCCAGGGCTGGAGGAAGGTCCGTGTGGGCAGAGAGGACGAGTGCACGTGTGTGTGCTTCCCTGGAGCACTGCCACTGCTGGCCTTGTGTCTCTGTGTCCCGGCGTCCCCATGACACCAGGCCTGCCCAGCCCTCGGGGTGCAGGCATTCCTGCACAGGGGCCGGAGGTGGGGGGTTCCTGGGCTGGGGGAGTCGCTCTGTGTGGCTGCAGCCATGTCTCTGGGTTCCAACGCTCACCTGCTGCCGTCGCTCTCCCGCTGCCGCCCGCCCGCGCACTCGTCCCTGTCCCTTGCCCCCATCCCCTTTGCCTTGGCTATCCCACTGTCCTGTGCCCCTGTCCTGTCCTGCCCCACCCTGCTCGGCCCCTGCAGCCCCCCCATTTCCAGGCTCTCTTGTCCATCCTCACCCCCCCCGAGGACCATCGGTGCCCCCCAGCGCGCCCGCTGCCCGTAGGATGGCCCGCCCGGCCGCGCCTCCCGCAGGTACTGCGCCCCTCACTCCACCTCGGGCGTCCCATGGGTCTGGGGACCCCGGGCCTCCCGGGGGACATTGGTAAGAGCCCCCGTGGCGGCTGTGTCATGGCCAGAGCCTGGTGCTGGTGCTGATCCTTGTGCTGGGACAGAGGACAGCACTGATGGGCCCCGGGGGCTCAGAGGTGGGTCCTGGCCAGGGGGGCTCACTCTGCCCCTGAGCCACCTGAGGGCCAGAGCCTGGTGCTGGTGCTGATCCTTGTGCTGGGACAGAGGACAGCACTGATGGGCCCCGGGGGCTCAGAGGTGGGTCCTGGCCAGGGGGCTCACTCTGCCCCTGACTCCCAGTGCTGCTGGGCAGTGTTCCCCCTGTGTCCAGCCTGGTGGGGGTAGTCAGCAGGATGAAGCAGGGCTTGGTGCAAGCAGATATGGCTGGGCTGGGGTCTGTGCCCCTGTGTGGGACCCTCAGGGGGCTGGGCAGGAGCAGGGTCCTCACCAGGTGCTGTCTGAGCCAGTGCTGGGCATATGCCCAGAGCTGAGCAAGCTGCTGTGGAAACAGCAGCTCCAGGACAACGGCTCTGGAGCCTGGGGCTGCCCAGTCCCTATGGCTGCTGCTCTCCTGGAGCTGGTGCCAGGTTCCTATCCCTGTCCCTGTGCCAGGCCCCGGGCTGCACCCACCACCCCCCGGACCCCCAGCTGGTGGAGAGGAGGTCGTGCGTGGCATTGCCGTTGAGAAGTTTGACATTGTCAAGAAGTGGGGGATCAACACCTACAAGGTGAGGGGCCACCAGCGGCCTTCCTGCCCCCCTCCCAAAGCAGCTGCTCTGGCAGGGGTTTGGGGGACTGACACATGCCTTGGGGGCCCCCGGTGTCCCCTGCTGCAGTGCACCAAGCAGCTGCTCTCGGAGCGCTTCGGCCGGGGGTCGCGCACGGTGGACCTGGAGCTGGAGACCCAGATCGAGCTGCTGCGGGAGACCAAGCGCAAGTACGAGAGCGTCCTGCACCTGGCACGGGCACTCACGGCCCACCTCTACAGCCTCGTACAGACCCAGCACGCCCTGGGCGATGCTTTCGCTGACCTCAGCCAGAAATCCCCTGAGCTCCAGGTGTGCCAGGGCTAGGGGGACACTGGGGTGAGGGCAGGGACACCTGGGCACCAGGGCTGGGGGAGGATGGGGAGCACCAGGACTTGGAGGGGACACCTGGACATAAAGGCTGGGAGGGCAGGGGTAGCTGGGGCTTGACACTGGGGTTGTGGGGGTCAGGACCTGGGGAGTCACACTTGGACACCAGGGCGGGAACACGATCTGCACAAGAGTGGATGTTGTGCTGGTGCTGGGCTTGGTGGTGCTGCCTCATGGTTGGCCTCGGTGGTCTCAGGGGGCTTTTCCCCCAGCACCCTTGATGGAGGGGAGTGGGGATGTGATCCATGGCCACTCACCTGTGCCCCCATCCCTCTGTCCCCAGGAGGAGTTTGGGTACAACGCGGAGACGCAGAAGCTGCTGTGCAAGAACGGGGAGACGCTGCTGGGCGCCGTCAACTTCTTTGTGTCCAGCATCAACACGCTGGTCAACAAGACCATGGAGGACACGCTCATGACAGTCAAGCAGTACGAGACGGCCAGGTGGGACAGGGAGCCAGGCGGGCTCAGGGCTCCTGGGGAGCTCTGGGGGCGGGTCAGTGATGCCGGGGATGCTGTGCAGGTTGGAGTACGACGCGTACCGCACGGACCTGGAGGAGCTGAGCATGGGCCCGCGCGATGCCGGCGCTGTCAGCCGCCTGGACGCGGCCCAGAGCCAGTTCCAGAGCCACAAGGACAAGTACGAGAAGCTGCGGGCAGACGTGGCCATCAAGCTCAAATTCTTGGAGGAGAACAAGGTGCGTACAGGGATGGGAGGTGTAGGGTGGGGATGGGGGGCACAGGAATGGGAGATGGAAGACAGAGGTGGGGCATGGAGAGGTGTGGGGCACATGAGGAGGGGGGGTTCGGGATAGGGATGAGGGGGAGCTGCAGGGATAGGAGGCACAGGGATGGGGTCCATGCAGGGATTTGACAGCCATGTTGAATTTGTCACTCAAGGACACGAATTGGGTGGAACGGGCAGTGCAGAGAGGGAGTGGTGGCAGTCGAGGCGGGTCTCAGAGGGCTTTCCAACCCCTTTTCTGTGCTGCTGGGGTGGGCTCAGGCCCCCCCAGTCACGATCCCCTCCCTCCTCAGATCAAGGTGATGCACAAGCAACTGCTGCTGTTCCACAACGCCATCTCTGCGTACTTTGCTGGGAACCAGCAGCAGCTTGAGCAGACCCTCAAGCAGTTCAACATCAAGCTCAAGACCCCCGGCGCCGAGAAGCCCTCCTGGCTGGAGGAGCAGTGAGCCCCCTGTGCCCCCCTGGATGGAGGAGCACACATGGACCTCAGTTGTGGCCGGGGGCTCGTGGGGGCCACAGCCCAGGCCTGGTCTTGGATGGGGGGGGCCACCAGGTGTGGGGAGCTGCCAGTGGGCTGGGTCCCCCCTCATCCCACAGCCTCTCCTCAGGGCAGGGCACAGCAGCTCCTCAGCACAGACCCCACATAGCAGACAGCTGGAGCCCCCCTGCCCCTGACACTCCTAAGGGGGCTCGCTGGGCTGCTGCCCCCAGACACCCCACTCACCTTGGGGTGAGCCAGGACCTTCCACTGTCCCCCCTCTGCCTCCCCGGGGCAGGATGAGGGTGCACCCCTCCCAGGCCCACTGCCAGGTTCCACCCAGGGAGCCCCCTGCCCTGTGGCACAGTGGAGCTGGGTGGGGGCAGCACTGGAACAGCCGGGCCCCCCCTGTGTCGGGGACGGGCTGTGGGGCCTCCCCACTGCACCTGGCACCCAGGGGGGCTCCCGCTCTGCCCGCCGCTGCCAGGGACACCCTGGCCCCCTCCAGGCTGGTCACAGTGTTTCCAGCCTGGCCGATCATGCACTCCTGATTCACAGGGGGCTGCACCCCCCAAAGACCCCCCTGCTTCCCCAGGGCTGTGGCATCCTGGGCTGGGCTGGTGAGGGGTCCCTGTGCCCTGCTGCTAGTGGCAGGGGGGAGTCGCTGGCCAGTCACAGGTCCCCTGGAACCCTGGGAGAGGATGGGGGGCTCCAAGCAGGGACCAAACGTCAGTGGCGGCACAGGGGGTGCACGTGTGTCCATGCATGTCCGTGTGCGGGCACAGGCATGTCCCGGGCCTGGGGCACCTGTGCTGCACATGGGGGGCTGGGGTCCCGGCCAGGGTCCACCCCGACCCCATGAGGGGCCCCCCCGCCTACCCCCGCACTTGGGCACTTTCTCCTGAGACAAAACTGTTGGTTTTTCTTGCTCATTAATTTAACTGATAATTTAATGTCGGGATCCGACTTCCCCCTGCCCGCCCTGGTGATGGTCTGACCCCCCAACCCCTGACTTCTGTAAAACCCCGAATAAATGGACAGATCAGTGTGTGCTGAGCTACAGTGGGGCAAGGAGGGGCTGCACCCCACGGGCTGGGGCTGCCAGGGTGGGTGGCAGACGGGGGCACAAGCCCCACAGCGGTGAGGACTCTGATGGAGCCCTAGGGCAAGGGGGACTGGCTGGTACCTGTGGGGGCCCCAGGCTTGGAAGGGGAATGAGCTGGAGCACAGGAGAGATGGCTCTGGGGGGCTTGGGGGGACCCTGCTCACTTGTGTCTGGCGAGGGGAGCCACCCCTTGCTCCAGCATGAACCAGGACAGGTGGGAGTAAATGGGGACAGGATGGGGGGCACCGCAGGGGGAAGCTGGGTGGGATCAGCCTGGGGCTCCTGGCACCATCACCACTGTCCCACTGGTGGCACTGGGAGCTCAGGAATCAGGATAGATTCCCCTTCCCCAGGCCAGGCACTGGGGCCAGTGCCCTCCTCTGTCGCCCTTCAACCTATTCCTACTCTGGTTGCTGCTCCCCTGGGCTCCTGGACACCCCCCAGGACACTCACTGGCCCCTGGGACACTGCCTTCAGAAGATTCCCAATGCCCCTGAACCTTCCTCCGGGACACCCTCTCCTTCTGCCCCGGCCCCCTGAACACTGAAACCCTCCCATGGGGCCCTGCCACTCCCCAGACATGGGGATGGATGGATGGATGGATGGATGGATGGATGGATGGATGATGGATGGAGCCCGCGTGATCCTCCTGTGCTGCAGGAATCCCAGCACCTGATGCCCGCTGTGCTGTGGGTGCCCATGGGACACGCTGAGCCTCAGCACCTTCTGCTGCTTCTGTTGGTGCCTGGCTGGGAGTGGAAGGTCCTGGGGTGGGTCCCGTGTCCCAGGGCAGGAACCCCCTATCACCCTCATCATCATCCTTGCTCCTGGGCACTGTGATGGCTGCGGAACCTTCCAGACACTGAGGCCAAGGTGGAGGGTCAGGGGACCATGCTGGGGCCCCCCATGTAGATTGGGACAGATTTATTGGGGGGCTGGTTTATGGCAGAGCTTTGGCTCCATCCTGGAGCTGATGGGTCTCCCTGATGGGTCACCAAATGTGCTGGGCCGGGTCAGCATCTTCCTGTCCCTATGGCCATGGCCCTCTCCAGCAGGGGTCTGGCTGGGGATAGAGCCACCTCCTCTGCACCCCTGGAGCTCCAGCTCTGCCAGGATGCCCTGTCCAAGAGCGCCTGCTCGCTGCCCCCTCGCCTCACCCAAAGGAGGCAGCCAGGAGCTGCTGGAATTCCCGGGAAGCTGCAGCAGGTGGGCTCGATGCCATGTCCTGAACGGGGTGGGGCCCCTGCCCTGGAGGTGGAGGGGCACCAGCTGAGGGGGTGATGGTGATGAGGGGGGGTCCCACGCAGAGGAGGAGCTGTGGCAGCTGGCGGGTGTGAAGAAGTGTGGGCTCCCTGCAAACTGAGGGGCTGGGCGGGCCTGCTGGGATCTGGTTTTACTCCTATCCCCCCCTCTATAAACCCCTTTGTACCCCGCCTGCACTTCCTTTATACCACCCCTCTGTAATCCCTATTTAACCCGTCTTTTTACCTGTGCATCCCCTTCGCTCCCCTTTATATCCACCTGTTTGCCTTGACCTTCCCGTTATTCCGCCTTTATCCCCCTTTTATATTCTTCCTATTTCCCAATTTATACCACCCGTCACCCCACGCTCGGTAACCCCCCGCCCCGCCATGCCCCCACCCACCAGTGTATGCCCACATTCTCCAGTGCTGTCCCCCCTCCAATTTGGGGTCAGCCCCCCCAAATTCGGGGTCGGGATGTGGTTGCCGTGGCAACAGCCGGGTACCCCTGGATGCGCGGCGCCCCCCCCAGCTGCAGAGCCACAGCCCAGGCGAGACCACTGACGTTGGAGGGGGGGCTGAGGGGTCACTTTAAGCACTTTCCCACCGGACTCTCCCCACCAGCCCCCCAGTCGGGGGCGGCAACGCGTCCTGCGGCGACGCCTCGCCGCCGCGAGTGGGGTGTCCTCGGGGGCGGGTTCCGTGGAACGGGGAGGCGGTGGCGTGTTCCGCCTCCCCCCGCGGAGCGCGCTTGGTGCCGCCCGGCCCGGCCGCCTCCCTGTCGCATCCCGGGCCGGGGCCGAGGATGCGCCGTGGGGTCCCGCGGCGCGCGCGGGAGCGAGGAGGGGGCTGCGGGGGGGGTGAGTGCGGCGGGCCCGGGGGCGGCGGGGGC